GATGCTTAACAGGTTACTTTTTGCTCCAACTCCTCTTTCTTCTTCCTTGGATATATAGTTAAGAGAATGGAAGATTTTATTCATCTCTCCGACAGGTGAAAATGAAAGCTTCATAAACTATGCAGGAGCATTTGTTCTGTCCGGAACGAAGTCAGCCCCTGCCTCCTGCAATTTGTTTAACAGCAAATCTAACTTCCGTTTCATGTAAAACTATATGGAAACTTTTTTGCTCTCTGTATTTCAAATGTTGTGGTATTGACTCCAGAAGGCTTGCAAAATCTGTTGAAGATACAGCCTGCTTATAAACCATACAGGGAAAAATTATTCCATGTCAAAACCAGGCATCACTCATCAATTACTATTTTTTGCTGTATTTCTCTATTTTAATCATGTGACAAGAACGAGCCTACCCTGCTAGTGCAGTAAAACCAAATGCCTCTGGGAAGGTGCATTTGACAAGCTGGGAATGAACAACAGCCAGGGTGAGCAATGCTGTATGAATTCTGAGGAGTACATTCATGAGTCAACAGCTCAGTCCTAAACCATTCCTAGAGTTAAGCAAGTATGTCAAACTCTTCCTGCAATGCCTCACAGCTCAGACTTTAAAAACAAACAAACAAAACAACCAACAACAACCAAGCAAACACCCCTGACATAATAATTATTAGAAGAAGTGAGTACTTAAAAACCCAACTACTTCTGGCATTTCTTTAATCAAAAAACTAAGCAACTTGTGTAAGACAGCTCCTGCTGGTCAGTAACCATAATGTTACTTTTTTACCCCACTCTCATGCCTTTTATTTTTCAAAAGGTCACATTAAACAAAGGATGATACAGACAAGAGTCTTAGTCAAAATAAATCTGTTTTTTTGTTTGTTTTTTTTAAGAGAGTAAGAGGATAAAGAGAACAGAAGAAAATTATTAGCCACCTGCAACAGAGTTAATAAATGGGAGACTGGTAATTAGTGTTTAATGCCACCTATAGCGAAATGTTTCCCACTGGGAAAAACGTGGGAGGCAAGTCCGCTTTGCTCCTTCAAAGTCACAAGCCGGAGCAGAACATACAACTGCACCTAACACCACAGTCACTTTACATATATTCAAGTTTTTACACATCTGCAAAGCAGAAGTAGTAGCAGCCATTTGGATGTTCTTTCTTAATGGTTCTCAGGGGGGGCCTAGGAAACTCGGAAGGACCAGGTTCTTGTGACATGGAGCTGGAGCTGCAGCTGCTGCTTCTGCTGCTGCTTCCAGCCACCTGCGCTCTGCCTCTGTTGTCCTCAGTGGGGGAGACCTGGGGGGACCCCGGGCTCAGGTACCCAGCTGTGGTCTGAGTAGAGGCAGTGGCATATGTGGTCGGGCCAGTGTTGTTTTTCACATAGACGTTTTTGATAGCAACAAGCGTATGTGCCATGATGCTGAGGCTGTTACTCAGATCTTGCATGCCTTGCTGCAGCAGTCGAAGATTGTGGTTGACACTGTCAAAGCCAGACTGGATCACCTGCATCTGGGTCTGCTGAATCTGCACTAGGTCCTCTTCAGTTATTTCATTTTGGTCTGCCTGGGACCTGCCTTTTGTTTTGGCTTTTACTTTCCCAGAGGAACCACCGCCTGATGTCCCCAGAAAAGGTAGTTGTTCTTGGCTAGGTGGAACCACCGCCATGTCCTCAGAGCTTTCTTCTGGCTCTACCACCTTCACTACTATTTCTTCTTTGAGGTTTATCTTCTCAAGACTGGATTGATGAGATGGGCCAGGATTGTCGTTAAACCCTAGAGGAGATGATGGGAGAGGAAAAGCAAAGGAGAGTCAGTCAGAAACTTCATGACCTCGGTGGTCAGTGAAATGTGTTCTCATCCACTAAGCACTAACATTAGTCCTTGAACCAAGACTCTACAACTCACACTGCATTATCTTTGATGCTTTTAGAATACATATTACCTCGATAGGTGGGAAGAAAACCATAAAGACGCATTCACCAGTTAACCATATATTTGCATACGACAGATCCCTTACCGGCCCCACCACAGAAGCTGAGTTTTAGGTTCCAAGAGACAAAGTTCATTGCAAGCTCATTTCATGCTCTACTGTGCACGTGGTAACCAGTAACAGCATTGCTGAAACACTGTGATTGCAAGAAATCCCTTGGTATTGAAGGTGATCGTTTCAGCACGCTAAGGCCACGTCCCTCTGGTATGTGCGAAGTTAGGTACTTGCAGCACTTTGTACTTGCCTAGAACTGCATGCTGGCATGGCTTTTCGCATTTGCAAGAATAAGTACTACAGATGTGAACACAGGCGGCTGGATCTAATGCCTCATAGACAGGCATCTACTACGAGATAGGGGTTACTCTTAGGTGCTGTTTTGACACACTTTTGACCTGCAGCACGAAATCTGCCAGGTCTGTGTGTATATGTATATATACATTTTGCATTGCCAAGGAGAGAAGGTAGTTATCCAAACCAGGCATTTTCAAGCGGGGCTGGTACCCGCAGCCCCCTGCGCGCACGCAGCGAGCCGGGAGCCTGCTACGGC